AAAAAGCAGCATTCCCCAAGAGAGGATGCCTTTCACTTCAGCAGTGATGAATTCATGAACTTCTTAGACGAAAAGATGATGGTCATTAAAAAGCAAATTACGGACTCCTCTTTGAATCTGCGTATCTCTCAAAAGCTCAGTTGTCCTGGGTCGGCACAAAACTGCCAGGACCTGGGATCAATGGAGACACTCAAGTTTTTTAATCTTGTATCTCTTGACATGTTCATGAAAATAGTCATGGCCTCTAAACCTTCCAGCTGCATAGTGGACCCTATTCCAACTAAACTACTGAAAGAGCTACTTCCTGTGCTTGGCCCTTCTATGGCTCCCTATCCAACGGATGTGTACCAAACTCACTAAATATGGCAATAATAAAGCCTCTCTTGACAGACAAATAATGTATACGAAACGCTTCGGCGTTCCTCAAGTTTCCATTTTAGGAGCACTATTGTTTTCACTATATATTCTACCTCTTGGTGATGTCATTCGGAAACACAATGTCAACTTTCACTGCTATGCAGACGACACACAGCTGGACATTTCGATGAAACATAGTGAAGCACTAAAATTGCCTACCCTGGAAGCCTGTATTTCAGACATAAGGAAGTGGATGGCGGCAAATGTTTTAATTTTAAACTCGGACAAAACAGAGATGCTAGTTCTAGGTCCTAAGAAACAAAGAGATCTGCTGTTGGATCTGACAATTAATCTTGATGGTTGTACAGTTGTCTCAAATAAAACTGTGAAGGACCTCGGCGTTACTCCTGATTCGTCTTTTGACGAACATATGAAGAATATTTCAAGAACAGCTTTTTTCCATCTTTGTAACATTGCAAAAATCATAAAGGTTTTGTCGAAAAATGATGCAGAAAAGCTAATCCACACTTTTGTCACTTCTAGATTGGACTACTGCAATGCTCTACTCTCCGGCTACCCGGATAAAGCACTAAATACACTTAATTTAGTGCTAAACACGGCTGCTAGAATCTTGACTAGAACCAACAAATGTGATCATATTACTCCAGTGCTAGCCTCTCTACACTGGCTTCCTGTTGAGGCTAGGGCTGATTTAAAGGTTTTACTGCTAACCTACAAAGCATTACATGGGCTTGCTCCTACCTATCTCTCCGATTTGGTCCTGCCGTACATACCTACACGTACGCTACGGTCACAAGACGCAGGCCTCCTTATTGTCCCTATCCATGTGAGAGACGCAGACTCTGTCTCGACCTTTAAGTCTTTACTGAAGACTCATCTCTTCAGTAGGTCCTATGATTGAGTGTAGTCTGGCCCAGGGGTGTGAAGGTGAACAGCAAGGCACTGGAGCGACAAACTGCCCTTGCTGTCTCTGCCTGGCCGGCTCCCCTCTCTCCACTGGGATTCTCTGCCTCTGACCCTATTACGGGGGCTGAGTAACTGGCTTACTGGTGCTCTCCCTAGGAGGGGTGCATCACTTGAGTGGGTTGAGTCAGACCTGATCAACTTGTCTGGTTTTGCGCCCCTCGGGTTCGTGTGGTGGAGGAGATCTTCGTGGGCTATACTCAGCCTTGTCTCAGGGTAGTAGGTTGGTGGGCTATACTCAGCCTTGTCTAAGGGTAGTAGGTTGGTGGTCTGTTGATATCCCTCTAGTGGTGTGGGGGCTGTGCTTTGGCAAAGTGGGTGGGGTTATATCCTGCCTGGTTGGCCCTGTCCGGGGGTATCGTCGGATGGGGCCACAGTGTCTTCCGACTCCCCCTTGTCTCAGCCTCCAGTATCTCTGCTGCAATAGTCTATGTGCCGGGGAGCTAGGGTCAGTCTGTTATATCTGGTGTTATTCTCCTGTCTTATCTGGTGTCCTGTGTGAATTTAAGTATGCTCCCTCTAATTATCTCACTCTCCCTCTCTCTCTCCCCTCCCGGAGGACCTGAGCCCTAGGACCATGCCTCAGGACTACCTGGCCTGATGACTCCTGGCTGTACCCAGTCCACCTGGTCGTGCTGCTGCTCCTTTTTCAACAGTTCTGCCTACGGCTATGGAACCCTGACCTGTTCACCAGACGTGCTACCTTGTCCCAGACCTGCTGTTTTCGACTCTGTCACTCTTTCTCTCTCTCCACCTGCTGTCTGGGCCTCATTTACTCCTGAGGTACTGACCTGTTGCACCCTCTATAACCCTGCTGGTCATCTATGAACGTTTAAACATCTTGAAGAACGATCTGGCCTTAAATGGCCATGTACTCTTATAATCTCCACCCGACACAGCCAGAAGAGGACTGGCCACCCCTCAGAGCCTGGTTCCTCTCTAGGTTTCTTCCTAGGTTCCGACCTTTCTAGGGAGTTTTTAGGGACATTGGAACCCATAGAGACTTTATAGACCATCGAGACTTGAGACTTTAGATAAATTAGAGACTGTAGAGACCATAGAGATTTTAGAGATTTTAGAGACCTTGGAGACCTTGGAGTCCATAAAGACTTTAGAAACCATAGAGACTTCAGAGACCAGAGGGTGGTGTGGTCTGCCTTCCTGTGACATCGGGTGCAGTAGGTGTCTTGGAGGGCAGGTAGTTTGCCCCCGGTAATGCGTTCAGCAGACCACATCACCCTCTGGAGAGCCCTGCAGTTGCCGTACCAGTCGGTGATACAGACCGACAGGATGCTCTCAATTGTGCATCAGTAAAAGTTTTTGAGGGTTTTAGGTGCCAAGCCAAATTTCTTCAGCCTCCTGAGGTTGAAGAGGCTCTGTTGTGCCTTCTTCACCACACTGTCTGCGTGGGTTGACCATTTCAGTTTGTCAGTGATGTGTACGCCAAGGATCTTGAAGCTTTCCACCTTCTCCACCTTCTCCACTGTGGTCCCGTCAATGTGGATAGGATTGGAGGCGTGCTTGGCCATGCAGTCATGGTTGAACGGGAGTACAAGTGGGAGCTGAGCACACACCCTTGTGGGGCCCCTGTGTTGAGGATCAGCAAAGTGGAGATGTTGTTTCCTATCGGCCACAGAGAAGGAGAGGCCACAGTCCTTGGTAGTGGGCCTCGTCGGTGGCACTGTGTTATCCTCAAAGCGGGCGAAGAAGGTGTTTATCTTGTCTGGAAGCGAGACGTCGGTGTCGGCGACGTGGCTGGTTTTCCTTTTGGTGATTGTCTGTAGACCCTGCCACAGTTCGAATAGCAATGGTCGAGGATTTTAGCAGCGTGAGTACAACAGTAGATATGTTGATAGTACATCGGCAGCCTAGTCCTCAAATTTGCTTTGTTAAAATCCCCGGCTACAACAAATGCAGCCTTAGGATATGTGGTTTCCAGTTTGCATAAAATCCAGTGAAGTTCTTTGAGGGCCGTCGTGGTATCGGCTTGAGGGGGGATATACACGGCCGTGACTATAACCGAAGAGAATTATCTTGGGAGATAATACGGTCGGCATTTTATTGTGACTATTCTAGGTCGGGTGAACAAAAGGACTTCCTGTATGTTACTACAATTACACCATGAGTCGTTAATCATGAAACACACACCTCCGCCCTTCTGCTTCCCGGAGAGATATTTATTCCTGTCTGCGCGATGAACTGAGAACCCATCTGGCTGGACTGATTTCGACAGAATATCCCCAGAGAGCCATGTTTCCATGAAACAAAGTATGTTACAGGCCTTGATGTCTCACTGGAAAGAAATCCTTGCCCGGAGCTCGTCAAGCTTGTTAACCAGAGACTGAACATTAGCGAGTAGTATACTTGGAAGCGGTGGGTGGTGTGCGTGCTGCCTAAGTCGAACTAGCAGGCCGCTCCGAGTGCCTCTCCTCCGCCGGCGATGTTTTGGGTCAGCCGCTGGAATCAGTTCAATTGCCCCGGGGAGAGCAAACAAAGGATCTGCTTCGGGAAAGTCGTATTCCTGGTCGTAATGCTGGTGAGTTACCGCCGCTCTGATATCCAATAGTTTTTCCTGGCTGTATGTAATGATACAAAACACTTTCTGAGCTAATAATGTAAAAAATAATACATAAAAAAAAAAAACACCGCAAAGTTTTCTAAGAGCTAGTCGCGATGCTGCCATCTTCGTCGGCGCTAGTTCAAATATGGGATCTGTAAGAAATACAAGGAGCAGCAGTAGTTTGGTGATATGAAGATGTCTGGTTCAGAAGCTGCATCGTTATGTCTGATTTATATGAAGTTAGAATGTGGAGAAGTCTGATTTATATATGTCTCCCAAGTGGCGCAGTGGTCTAAGGCACTGCATCGCAGTGCTAGCTGTGCCACTAGAGATCCTGGTTCGAATCCAGGCTCTGTCGTAGCCGGCCGCGAACGGGAGACCCATGGGGCGGCGCACAATTGGCCCAGCGTCGTCCAGGGTATGGGGAGGGAATGGCCGGCAGGGATGTAGCTCAATTGGTAGAGCATGGCGTTTGCAACGCCAGGGTTGTGTGTTCGATTCCCACGGGGGGCCAGTATGAAAAAATTATAATGTATGCACTCACTAACTGTAAGTCGCTCTGGATAAGAGCGTCTGCTAAATGACAAAAAAAAATATATATATATAAAGTTAGAACATGGAGAAGTCTGATTTTTTCAGGAGGTCAGTGTGATGCGGTAGGACGAAGTCAGGCGCAGGACACAGAGCTAATCGAAAACGTACTTTACTCGTAGGTAACGTAAATAACATAACCTCCACACAGGGAGGAAACAAACCTGCTCACCAGACGACAACCAAACATGAACAAACACGCAAAACAGACAGTGGGAGCCAGAGGGTTAAATAGGGAAGTAATCAATACTAATGGGAACCAGGAGTGAACAATAAAGACAAGACAAGCAGAATACAGAAACATAGATCGGTAGCAGCTAGTACTCCGGTGACGACGAACGCCGAAGCCTGCCCGAGAAAGGAGGAGGAGCAGCCTCGGCTGAATCCGTGACAGATTTACATAAAGTTAGAACGTGGATAAGTCTGATTTAGTGTGAGAGAGTTAGTGTTTTATAGTTGGCAGATGTTTCAAATAGAATCTGAAGTTCCACCTGATAAAACGGCAATGATGGAGGAGGACATTGATTGGATTATAATGTCTGGCCCACCACTCCACCCTTTACGACCAGGTCCACCTCTATAAGGCAGCAATCCCAACTTTTGCCAGGACCCTGAAGGACGTCACCCCCGACCAGCGAGTCACCCTCCCAGACCTGCAAGACCCCCTCCCGAAGGACCTGCACCGAGAGAACCCACGCCAAGAGGACCTACACCCAGACCACAGCTTCACCAGCCACACCCCAACCAGCTGAGACCACCCCAAACAAACCCCGCCCCCCCCCCCCCCCGATCACAGTCTACCTGAACAGAACAGTCAGCCCACTGACACCCCTATCAGACCACAGCAAAATCACAGTCTACCTGAACAGAGCAATACAAAATCATGAGGCATCAAAGCCAAAGGAACTGAATAATATTAAGAAATGCTATAGATGGAAGGAAAGAAGTGTTGAAACCTACCCCAAAAAATTATTAGGCAACAACAAATTCAATCCCTTTTAAACAACTTCCTGGACAAAACATTTCACTGTAATAGTGAAGGTGTAAACTTGGGAGTAGAAAACCTAAACAGTATATTTGATCTTTCAGCTTCCCATCAAATCTAAAAATGTCAAGCAGACAACCTAAGAAAATTAACAACAATGACAAATGGTTTGATGAAGAATGCAAAAACCTAAGAAAGAAATTGAGAAACCTATCCAACCAAAAACATAGAGACCCAGAAAACAGAGTCTATGCCTTCACTATGGTGAATCACTAAAACAATACCGAAATACACTACGGAAAAAGAAGGAACAGCACGTCAGAAATCAGCTCAATGTAATTGAAGAATCCATAGACTCTAACCACTTCTGGGAAAACTGGAAAACTCTAAACAAACAACAACACGAAGGGTTATCTATCCAAAATGGAGATGTGTGGATAAACCACTTCTCCAATCTTTTTGGCTCTATAACAAAGAACAAACAGCAAAAACATATACGAGGTCAATTACAAATCTTAGAATCAGCTACTAAAGACTACCAGAAACCCGCTGGATTCTCCAATTACATTGAATGAACTACAGGACAAAATACAAACCCTCCAAACCAAAAAGGTCTGTGGTGTTGATGATATCCTACATGAAATTATAATATATACAGACCACAAATTCCAATTGGCTATACTTAAACTCTTTAACATCATCCTCAGCTCTGGCATCTCATCAAATATTTCGAACCAAGGACTGGTAAACCCAATCCACAAAAGTGGAGACAAATTTGACTCCAGTAACTACCATTGGATATGCGTCAACAGCAACCTTGGGAAAATCCTCTGCATTATCATTAACAGCAGACTTGTACATTTCCTCAGTGAAAACAATGTACTGAGCAAATGTAAATTGGCTTTTTACCAAATTACCGTACGACAGACCACGAATTCACCCTAGACCCCTAATTGAAAAAACAAACAAACCAAAACAAAGGCAAAGTCTTCTCATGCTTTGTTGATTTCAAAAAAGCTTTTGACTCAATTTGGAATGAGGGTCTGCTATACAAATTGATGGAAAGTGGTGTTGGGGGAAAAACATACAACATTATAAAATCCATGTACACAAACAACAAGTGTGCGGTTAAAATTGGCAGAAACACACACATTTCTTTCCACAGGGCCGTGGGGTGAGACAAGGATGCAGTTTAAGCCCCACCTTCTTCAACATATATATCAACGAATTGGCGAGGGCACTAGAACAGTCTGCAGCACCCGGCCTCACCCTACTAGAATCTGAAGTCAAATGTCTACTGTTTGCTGATGATCTGGTGCTTCTGTCACCAACCAAGGAGGGCCTACAGCAGCACCTAGATCTTCTGCACAGATTCCGTCAGACCTGGGCCCTGACAGTAAATCTCAGCAAGACAAAAATAAGGGTGTTCCAAAAAAGGTCCAGTTGCCAGGACCACAAATACAAATTCCATCTAGACACCGTTGCCCTAGAGCACACAAAAAACTATACATACCTCTGCCTAAACATCAGCGCCACAGGTAACTTCCACAAAGCTGTGAACGATCTGAGAGACAAGGCAAGAAGGGCCTTCCAAAAGGAATATAACATTTGACATACCAATTAGGATCTGGCTAAAAATACCAAATAATGCATGCAGAGCAGAATTAGGACAATACCTGCTAATTATCAAAATACAGAAAAGAGCTGTTAAATTCTATAACCACTTAAAAGGAAGCGATTCCCAAACCTTCCATAACAAAGCCATCAGCTACATTGAAAAATGAACCTGGAGAAGAGTCCCATAAGCAAGCTGGTCCTGGGGCTCTGTTCACAAACACAAACAGACCCCACAGATCACCAGGACAGCAACACAATTAGACCCAATCATGAGAAAACTAAAAGATAATTACTTGATGATTTCAAAAAAACGGATCAAACTAGAATGCTATTTGGCCCAAACAGAGATTACACAGTGGCAGAATACCTGACAACTGTGACTTACCCAAAATTAAGGAACGTTTTGACTACGTCCAGACTCAGTGAGCATAGTCTTGCTATTGAGAAAGGCCACCGTAGACAGACCTGGCTCTCAAAATATGACAGGCTATGTGCACACTGTCTCTGGTTATATTGAGAAAGACCGACAGGTTTGTCTCTGGTTATATTGAGAGAGAAAGACCGACAGGTTTGTCTCTGGTTATATTGAGAGAGAAAGACCGACAGGTTTGTCTCTAGTTATATTGAGAGAGAAAAACCGACAGGTTTGTCTCTGGTTATATTGAGAGAGAAAGACCGACAGGTGCAAACAAATAAAGTTTGCTCTCGTCTCCACTCCGCCCCAGGGCCTCTCGTGTATACAGCAGAGGAAGTCCAGATATACCAGGACCCACAGCAGCCCACAGCAGCCCACAGCAGCCCACAGCAGCCCACTTCGGCCCACATCAGCCCACTCCAGCCCACAGAAGTCCACTCCAGCACACTCCAGCCCACTCCAGCCCACTCCAGTCCACTCCAGCCCACAGCAGTCCACTCCAGCCCACTACAGCACACAGCAGTCCACTCCAGCCCACTCCAGCCCACTCAAGCCCACAGCAGTACACTTCATGCCCACTACAGCACACATCAGTCCACTCCAGCCCACAGCAGTCCACTCCAGCCCACAGCAGCCCACTCCAGCCCACTCCAGCCCACTCCAGCCCACAACAGTCCACTCTAGCCCACTCCAGCACACAGCAGTCCACTCCAGCCCACTCCAGCCCCACAGCAGTCCACTCCAGCCCACTCCAGTCCACTCCAGTCCACTCCAGCCCACTCCAGTCCACTCCGGCCCACTCCAGCCCACTCCGGCCCACTCCAGCCCACAGCAGCCCACTCCAGCCCACTACAGCCCACACTACAGTCCACTCCAGCCCTCTCCAGCACACAGCAGTCCACTCCAGCCCACTCCAGCCCACTCCAGTCCACTCCAGTCCACTCCAGCCCACAGCAGTCCACTCCAGTCCACTCCAGCCCACTCCAGTCCACTCCAGTCCACTCCAGCCCACTCCAGCCAACAGCAGCCCACTCCAGCCCACTCCAGCCCACAGCAGTCCACTCCAGCCCACAGCAGCCCACTCCAGCCCACTCCAGCCCACAGCAGCCCACTCCAGCACACTCCAGCCCACTCCAGCCCACTCCAGCCCACAGCAGTCCACTCCAGTCCACTCCAGCCCACTCCAGTCCACTCCAGCCCACTCCAGCCCACAGCAGCCCACAGCAGCCCACAGCAGACCACTTCAGCCCACAGCAGCCCACAGCAGCCCAATCCAGCCCACAGCAGCCCACCGAAGCCCACTCCAGCCCACTCCAGCCCACTCCAGCCCACTCCAGCCCACATCAGCCCAATCCAGCCCACTCCAGCCCACAGCAGTCCACTCCAGCCCACAGCAGCCCACTCCAGCTCCAGCAGCCACCAGCCCACTCCAGCCCACGCAGCCCACTCCCCCACTCGCATCCGCTACAGCAGCCCATCAGCTCACAGAGCAACACTCCACACGCCCATCCAGCCCACTCAGCCAAGCGCCCACTCCAGCCCACTCAGCCCCTCCAGCCCACAGCAGTCCCTCCAGCCCTGCAGCCCACTCAGCCCACAGCAGTCCACTCCATCACACGCAGCCACTCAGCTCATCAGCCCACTCAGCCACAGAAGTCCACTCCAGCCCATCCAGACACGCAGTCCACTCCAGCCACTCCAGCCCACTCCAGCCCATCCAGCACAGCAGCCCACTCAGCCACTCCAGCCCACTCCAGTCCACTCAGCCCACTCCAGCCCACAGCTTCACGCTAGTGGTTGCACAGTAGATGTAGCTCACCGCTAGTGGTTTACACCAGTAGATGTAGCTTCACCGCTAGTTGGTTTACACCAGTAGATGTAGCTTCACCGCTAGTTGGTTTACACCAGTAGATGTAGCTTCACCACTAGTTGGTTTACACCAGTAGATGTAGCTTCACCGCTCGTTGGTTTACACCAGTAGATGTAGCTTCACCGCTAGTTGGTTTTACACCAGTAGATGTAGCTTCACGCTAGTTGGTTTTACACCAGTAGATGTAGCTTCACCCTCTAGTGGTTTGCACCAGTAGATGTAGCTTCACCTCTAGTTGGTTTACACCAGTAGATGTAGCTTCACCGTAGTTGGTTGTACACAAGTAGATGTAGCTTCACCGCTAGTTGGTTTACACCAGTCGGATTTAGATGTCACCGCTAGTGGTTACACCAGTAGATGTAGCTTCACGCTAGTTGGTTTTACACCAGTAGATGTAGCTTCACCACTAGTTGGTTTACACCAGTAGATGTAGCTTCACGCTCGTTGGTTTACACCAGTAGATGTAGCTTCACCGCTAGTTGGTTTACACCAGTAGATGTAGCTTCACCGCTAGGGCTTCAACCTCTAGTTGGTTTGCACCAGTAGATGTAGCTTCACCTCTAGTTGGTTTACACCAGTAGATGTAGCTTCACCGCTAGTTGGTTTACACCAGTAGATGTAGCTTCACCGCTAGTTGGTTTACACCAGTAGATGTAGCTTCACCGCTAGTTGGTTTACACCAGTAGATGTAGCTTCACCTCTAGTTGGTTTACACCAGTAGATGTAGCTTCACCTCTAGTTGGTTTGCACCAGTAGATGTAGCTTCACCGCTAGTTGGTTTACACCAGTAGATGTAGCTTCACCGCTAGTTGGTTTGCACCAGTAGATGTAGCTTCACCTCTAGTTGGTTTGCACCAGTAGATGTAGCTTCACCGCTAGTTGGTTTACACCAGTAGATGTAGCTTCACCTCTAGTTGGTTTGCACCAGTAGATGTAGCTTCACCTCTAGTTGGTTTGCACCAGTAGATGTAGCTTCACCGCTTTTTGGTTTACACCAGTAGATGTAGCTTCACCGCTAGTTGGTTTGCACCAGTAGATGTAGCTTCACCGCTAGTTGGTTTGCACCAGTAGATGTAGCTTCACCACTAGTTGGTTTACACCAGTAGATGTAGCTTCACCGCTAGTTGGTTTACACCAGTAGATGTAGCTTCACCGCTAGTTGGTTTACACCAGTAGATGTAGCTTCACCGCTAGTTGGTTTACACCCAGTAGATGTAGCTTCACGCTAGTTGGTTTACACCAGTAGATGTAGCTTCACCGCTAGTTGGTTTTACACCAGTAGATGTAGCTTCACCGCTAGTTGGTTTACACCAGTAGATGTAGCTTCACCGCTAGTTGGTTTACACCAGTAGATGTAGCTTCACCGCTAGTTGGTTTACACCAGTAGATGTAGCTTCACCGCTAGTTGGTTTACACCAGTAGATGTAGCTTCACCGCTAGTTGGTTTACACCAGTAGATGTAGCTTCACCGCTAGTTCGTTTACACCAGTAGATGTAGCTTCACCTCTAGTTGGTTTACACCAGTAGATGTAGCTTCACCGCTAGTTGGTTTACACCAGTAGATGTAGCTTCACCGCTAGTGGTTTACACCAGTAGATGTAGCTTCACCTCTAGTTGGTTTACACCAGTAGATGTAGCTTCACGCTAGTTGGTTTACACCAGTAGATGTAGCTTCACCGCTAGTTGGTTTAACACCAGTAGATGTAGCTTCACCGCTAGTTGTTTACACCAGTAGATGTAGCTTCACCGCTAGTTGGTTTACACCAGTAGATGTAGCTTCACCGCTAGTTGGTTTACACCAGTAGATGTAGCTTCACCGCTAGTTGGTTTACACCAGTAGATGTAGCTTCACCACTAGTTGGTTTACACCAGTAGATGTAGCTTCACCGCTAGTTGGTTTTACACCAGTAGATGTAGCTTCACCGCTAGTTGGTTTACACCAGTAGATGTAGCTTCACCGCTAGTTGGTTTACACCAGTAGATGTAGCTTCACCTCTAGTTGGTTTACACCAGTAGATGTAGCTTCACCGCTAGTTGGTTTACACCAGTAGATGTAGCTTCACCTAGTTGGTTTACACCAGTAGATGTAGCTTCACCGCTAGTTGGTTTACACCAGTAGATGTAGCTTCACCGCTAGTTGGTTTACACCAGTAGATGTAGCTTCACTGCTAGTTGGTTTACACCAGTAGATGTAGCTTCACCGCTAGTTGGTTTACACCAGTAGATGTAGCTTCACCGCTAGTTGGTTTACACCAGTAGATGTAGCTTCACCGCTAGTTGGTTTACACCAGTAGATGTAGCTTCACGCTAGTTGGTTTACACCAGTAGATGTAGCTTCACCTCTAGTTGGTTTACACCAGTAGATGTAGCTTCACCGCTAGTTGGTTTACACCAGTAGATGTAGCTTCACCGCTAGTTGGTTTACACCAGTAGATGTAGCTTCACCGTCTAGTTGGTTTACACCAGTAGATGTAGCTTCACGCTAGTTGGTTTACACCAGTAGATGTAGCTTCACCGCTAGTTGGTTTACACCAGTAGATGTAGCTTCACCGCTAGTTGGTTTACACCAGTAGATGTAGCTTCACCGCTAGTTGGTTTACACCAGTAGATGTAGCTTCACCGCTAGTTGGTTTACACCAGTAGATGTAGCTTCACCGCTAGTTGGTTTACACCAGTAGATGTAGCTTCACCGCTAGTTGGTTTACACCAGTAGATGTAGCTTCACCGCTAGTTGGATTATACCAGTAGATGTAGCTTCACGCTAGTGGTTTACACCAGTAGATGTAGCTTCACCGACTAGTTGGTTTACACCAGTAGATGTAGCTTCACCGCTAGTTGGTTACACCAGTAGATGTAGCTTCACCACTAGTTGGTTTACACCAGTAGATGTAGCTTCACCTCTAGTTGGTTTACACCAGTAGATGTAGCTTCACCGCTAGTTGGTTTACAACCAGTAGATGTAGCTTCACCGCTAGTTGGTTTACACCAGTAGATGTAGCTTCACCGCTAGTTGGTTTACACCAGTAGATGTAGCTTCACCGCTAGTTGGTTTACACCAGTAGATGTAGCTTCACCGACTAGTTGGTTTACACCAGTAGATGTAGCTTCACCGCTAGTTGGTTTACACCAGTGAGATGTAGCTCACCGCTAGTTGGTTTACACCAGTAGATGTAGCTTCACCTCTAGTTGGTTTACACCAGTAGATGTAGCTTCACCGCTAGTTGGTTTACACCAGTAGATGTAGCTTCACCGCTAGTTGGTTTACACCAGTAGATGTAGCTTCACCGCTAGTTGGTTTACACCAGTAGATGTAGCTTCACCGCTAGTTGGTTTACACCAGTAGATGTAGCTTCACCGCTAGTTGGTTTACACCAGTAGATGTAGCTTCACCGCTAGTTGGTTTACACCAGTAGATGTAGCTTCACCGCTAGTTGGTTTACACCAGTAGATGTAGCTTCACCGCTAGTTGGTTTACACCAGTAGATGTAGCTTCACCGCTAGTTGGTTTACACCAGTAGATGTAGCTTCACCGCTAGTTGGTTTACACCAGTAGATGTAGCTTCACCGCTAGATGGTTTACACCAGTAGATGGAGATGTATAATGGGTCCAGTCAGTGCTGGTCTCTCACACACTCACACTTTACTATCCTTGTTTGAACCCAAAAATGTACTCTCCTTCAAAATACTATTTTCCTTCAACCTTAAAAATAATTAACTGTAAACTTAAGCCTAATAGCCTTTTTACCCCCTGACTTTTCCTTGTGAGGACTTCTGGTGTCCCCACACCAATACAATACACACACCCATACACACCAGCCAGGTCAACTATGATACACGTCAGTATTCGCCGTCCAGCCATGTCTGAGGATGTCGGGAGATGACATGGTAACTGGCAACAGGGAGTGCTTTCTTTAAGTAGATTTGTTTTGATTTGTGGGGAGGTGTTTTTGTACGGTGATGGTGGATGGACATAAGCTTCTGCCTGTAGTGCCAAAGGTTGCGTGTTCGAATCCAGCAATAGAAAGTTGTTTTTGAGATTTTGGTTTTAAGCCAAACCTTAACCTTAAGAGTTAATGCCTAACCTTAAGACCTAACCTTAAAGTCTTTGAACAACTTCAAAATGTTAAGTTTGAGAAACATGGATGAACGTCTAATTCTGATGTGTGACTCTGCACGCTTGTTGGGTGCCCACAAACCAGAAACCAGGGTCGGCATCAGAACGAATCAGGGATTTGATTTCTTTAGACGGACCCGTTTTTTTTTTCACGGGACCTGTGTGCGCTCACAAATGTTGTTAATGGGTGTTATAATAAATACCATCGGCAGCTCCTGAGTTTTAAGTTTGGAGAAGCCTACAATTTATCCAACAACTTCGATCTAGCTGCGTTCCAGTTATGATTTTTATTTACGCATTTTCGTGGAACAGTTTCAGTAATGTTCTCGTTTCTCAAAATTGTCTTATGGTTAATCATAAAAATCTGAAGTAAAAGGATACAAATCTAACAATTAAACAAGCTTTACCTTAGATTGATCAAATCTAATTTTATTTGACACATGCGCCGAAAACAACAGGTGTAGACCTTACCGTGAAATGCTTACTTACAAGCCCTTAATCAACAATGCAGTTCAATAAATATAGTTAAGCAAATATTCACTAATTGAAATAAAGCAACAAATTAAATAAAAAGTAACACAAAATAACAATAACGAGGTTACATACAGGGGGTACCGGTACCGAGTCAATGTGTGGGGGTGCAGGTTAGTCGAGGTAATTTGTACATGTAGGTAGGGGTGAAGAGACTATAGATAATAGTAGCAGCAGTGTAAAAACAAAGGGGGGGTGGGGGTCAATGTAAATAGTCCGGGTAGCCATTTGATTAATTGTTCAGTAGTCTTATGGCTTGGGGGTAGAAGCTGTTAAGGACCTAGATTTGGCGCTCCGGTACCGCTTGAAG